GGGGGGGGGGGCTCTGCAACCTCCTCTCTTTAAACCCCCCCCCCGGGCAAAAGGAGTAAGAACTGCTTCACACTCTCAGGCTTCAGGAGGGTGCTCCCTCTAAGCTGTGGAGTCTTGTGAGCAAAAATTTTACTTTGTGAGCTGCTGGCTTTAAAGTTGTGAGTGGACGATTTGGCTGCTGCATAAATTAGCTTGCTCTGGAGCCCCATCCTCCCTGAGCGAAGACAAAAATCTGTGAGCTGGAGGCTAAAAATCTGTGAGCTAGCTCATGCTGACTCAGCTTAGAGGGAACACTGGTCACCACTGAATAAAAGCTCGGGGTGGGCGACTGGAAGACTCGGCAGGTGCTCAGAGACAAGCAATACCCCTCTTAGTGTGGAGCCCTCTTGACTGGGTGGCCTGGCACCCCACGGGTCTTGACCTGATTGTAACTCAAAGAGAAGAGATGGAGGCAGCATCTGCCAGAGAGGAGGAAGCCCGTGGTCTGAGAGCACCTCTTGATGGGGGTGGGGTGGGGGGCAGAGAGCAGGGGAGGCCCTGGCCAGCACCCGAAATGCCCCCCCGCCCATCCCAAGGCCCCATTTTCCATTTCCACATCTTCAGCACCCCCAGCCCTCCACCACCGAGTCCCTGCCAAAATATCCCACCTTCTTCCCCAATCCAACAAAAGGGGCCCAGCCCACGGATGCCAACATATTGCTGCCGGGATACCTTTCGTCGAAGCTGCTGCTGGGGGAGGCTGAGGGGCTGGACTGGGCCAGTTCTGTCACGTCCGAGATGATCGGGCCCGAGTTGGCGGAGGAGTCGGGGGAGTACAGGTTCGCCCCGGCGTAAGGAGGGGAGGAGGCCTGCGAGGCGAAGGGAGAGGCGGGTAAGAGACTTTCTCCTGCACTGGGGACCAAACGGGCCGACGCCTGAACGTGGAGCCCTGGGACCCTACCAGGCTGCCCCGCTGGCACAGGGTCTGCTCCCCGGGACCCTACCAGGCTGCCCCGCTGGCACAGGGTCTGCTCCCCCCCCCACCGCCCCTTAGCAAAGGAAGGGCAGCCCCCAGGAGTGCAGCTCCAGAAGCAGGGCAGGCCAGTACTCACGGAGTAGGGGGACGGGCTGTGGACACGCTCCAGCGAGTACTGGCGGCTGTACTTGGGCATGGAATGCCCCGAACTGCTGTCGTTCAACATCAAGGGACTGGAGGGAAAGCAGAGAGCTGTGAGGCAGGGAGGAGGGAGGCAAAATCTCTTTGCTGACAGAGGAGGAGGAGGAGGAAGAGGAAGGGGAACAAGGAGGTCAGCTGCAGCGTCCATTGCTCTCTCCACATGCGCACATTTTCTGCCGCACTGCCAGCTGCCGTCCCCACAGATTCTCAGCAGGCCACTGCCAGGCTTTCCGTGCCATTTGGCCACAAGGGCAGCAGTCAGTGTTCCCTCTAAGCCGAGTTAGTGTGAGCTGGCTCACGGTTTTTTAGCCTCCGGCTCACACATTTTTGTCTTGGCTCAGGAAGGATGGGGCTCCAGAGCAATCTATTTTACGCAGCAGCCAAATCGCTGGCTCACAACTTTAATGCCAGTAGTAGAAGTTTTGCTCACAAGACTCCACAGCTTAGAGGGAGTATTGGCAGCAGGGCCTGCGAGTTAACCCACAAGTATTGCTCACGCTAAGCTGTGGACAGTCTTGTGAGCAAAGATTCCACTTTGTGAGCTGCTGGCCTTAAAGTTGTGAGCGAGCGATTTGGCTGCTGGGTAAATTAGTTTGCCCTGGAACCCCATCCTTCCTGAGCCAAGACAGAAATCTGTGAGCTGGAGGCTAAAAAACTGTGAGCTAGCTCACACTAACTCAGCTTAGAGGGAACGCTGCCCACAAGAAGGGCTTGACCCGGCAGTGGCTTCACTGGGCGGGGCACGGGCATTTCTGGGATCAGCCCCTTCGGGCTGTGTTGGGCTTCAGAGGACCCCGTGGCTGAGAGGGACTGGGGGGGGGGCGCGGGGGATGAATTCTGCACGGGCTGAAGTTGGGCCTAGTAGCTGTGGCCCCCTCAGACAACTCCACGGCACATTGGAGGAGAACAGGAAGCCAGTCTAGACCCACAGACCATCCCCACCGCCCTTGGGCCACTCCTGCTGCCCTGGCACCCTGTGATCAGGCCAGTGGCCCATCCGACCCAACACTCCGTGTCACGCAGTGGCCAAAAGTCCAGGGTCCATCCGGAGGTCCACCAGCGGGGCCAGAACTCCGGTAGTCCTCCCACTGTTACCCCCCCCCCCCCAAGCACCAAGAAGACAGAGCACCACACAGTGGGGAGAACTCTGGTAAACCTCTTCTGCTTTCCAGAGAAATGCGCAAGTTCCTCAGCAACAGGGCAGACCCGTGCTGAGAAGCTGCGAGGTTTTGGACCGTCCACCTTGCAGACGGGACGTTTCTGGAAGCACCCTCCATGTCCCCTCCCCGGCCACTTTGAGAGGCGCTCCCCACCAGGATGGGGAACAGGACCGAGAGACACGCCCAGAGCCCCCCTTACATTTTCCTCTTCACCCCAAGAATGCGATTGGACTGCACCAGCGAAATCAAGAACTGGATGAGCTGCGGGAAGGAAGGAAGAGGGGGAAAAGCCAGTAAGCCTCAGGCCATGAGTCAAACAGCAGGAGGATTCCTGGGCCCTCCTGCTCCGCATGACACAGTCTCAAGGTCCACGCTGCACACGACAAAAGGAGCACACAGCACAGTCCACGGGAGGTCCCCAGGGAAACACCCACCCACCCACCCACCCGACCAGCAATGTGCTGATCAGATGGCACAGAGCAAGGAAGGAGGAGGCCCAGGGACAAGGAAGAAGAAGAAGGAGATTGGATTTATCCCCCATGGCCCTTCACTACCCAAGGGAGTCTCAGAGCGGCTGACAATCTCCTTCCCCTTCCCCTCCCCACAACAGACACCCTGGGAGGTGGGTGAGGCTGAGAGAGCTCTTGACAGAAACTGCTCTTTTTTTCAAGGACAGCTCTTATCAGAACTACGGCTTGCCCAAGGTCATCCAGCAGGTGCAAGGGGAGGAGTGGGGGATCAAATCCGGTCCTCCCAGATTAGAGTCCGCGCACTTAACCAGGACACCAAACTGGCTCTCACAGCACCCTGGTCCCTTCTGCCCACAGGTCACCCGCCACAGATCCCTGCAGCTGCAGCCCACGCTTACCTTATTGACCACCTTCTGCTGCTGGGCATGCTTCTGCCGCAAACTGGCCACTTCCCGCCACAGGGCCTCGTTCTCACTGCAAGGGAGGAGGGGACAGAACAATCAGCCTGGCCCTTCTCTGGCTTGGCTGCCACAAGCAGGGCCGCAGCAGCAAGCCCCAGGAGACCAGGTGGAGCAGGACGAGGCCCCCATCTCCTGCTAAGAAGCCCGGACCCACTCGCTGGCAGGACAATGATCGCCTTCGGTTAAGTGGCCACGGATACGTCAAGAGGACCTATATACAGATCATGCCCATGGAGAGGGCAACTTGAGCTGCAACAGCACAACCTAAGGGACCGCCTTGCCCCACATGTTCCCCCAAGGGCACTACGGTCGGGGAATCAAAATCTACTGGATGTTCCAGGCCCCCGGTCCATCAGACTTACCATGACCAGGAATAGGGCATTTTTGGTGGCGGCTCCTATCTGGTGGAATGAGCTCCCAGAGGAGATCAGGGCTCTGCGGGACCTAGCACAGTTCCGCAGAGCCTGCAAGATGGAGCTCTTCCTCCAGGCTTTCGAATAGGAGCCGCCACCACCAGTGTACCATCAACACCCCATAATTTCTGTATATGGACATCAGGACGTGGGGATGTACCACCAACACCTCATAATTGCTGCATCATGGGTGAGAACGGGACGTTTAGGGGACGGCCATCTTACTTTTAGAAATTGTTTATTAATGGTGATGTATTTTTAATATTTTGTACTGTTTTACTGTTTTATTTGGCGTTACGCCTTGTTAGCCGCCCTGAGCCTCCAGGGAGGGCGGGATAGAAATGTAAATAATAAATAAATAAATAATATTCACAAGTTCTGTGCTTAACCTTGTGCCAGCACACAACACAGAAACTTTCAGGGAGTTGATGATCTTTTATTGAAAAAAAAAGGAAATGACTCTTTTTTTATTAGCAAGGTGCTGATCCAGAGGTCAGCCCTGCAAGGTAGGGCACTTGTGAGTCCCACAAACAAATACTTGGGTAGCTGCGGCCAAATTGGATCAAGGTGCTGGGTTTAGACTGAATCCCCAAAACTCAAATAAGAGTATAACTACTGGGGTTTATTGTTTATTGTATTTATTTTGGATTTATATCCCGCCCTTCCGAACGGCTCAGGGCGGCTAACATACGGCTAGTGCCAGAATTAAATAGATAAAATACAATAAAACAGCGTTAAACATCCACAATAAAATCCCATAAACAATGTTTAAGGTGTTCATTATCCTATATATAGATCTCCAAGATGGACAGTAATCCCAATTCGACAGCCAGCCAGCTTTATTAAACAGCGAGGACTCCAGCGATGATGTTCTGCTCGCTTCCGCCAGGTGACGCGTACCCCGCATAATAGGTGTAAGTGGTGTAACAGTACAGCGGTGGTGGAATAGTGGCGGTGGCGGCTCCTACTCAAAAGCCTGGCGGAAGAGCTCCGTCTTGCAGGCCCTGCGGAACTGCAGAAGGCCCCACAGGGCCTGGATCTCCCTCGGGAGCTCATTCCACCAGGTAGGAGCCGCCACCGAAAACGCCCTGGCCCTAGTAGGGGCAATCTTAACGTCTCGGGGGCCTAGAACTTCCAGGAGATGGAGACTCCCTGATCATAGTGCTCTTGGGGGAACATACGAGGAGAGGCGGACCCTTAGGTAAGCCGGACCCCGGCCATTCAGGGCTTTAAAGGTAAGAACCAGCACTCTGAAGCGAATCCGGTATGCTATCGGCAGCCAGTGCAGCGCTTGCAGCACAGGCCAGATGTGGTCTCGCCTAGAGAGGCCCATCAACAGCCTGGCTGCAGCATTCTGCACTAGCTGCAGCTTCCGGATTTGCGACAAAGGCAGCCCCTAGAGAGCGTTACAGTAGTCTAACCTTGAGGTGACCGTCGCATGGATCAGTGGCCAGGTCCTCACGGTCAAGGTAGGGGACCAACCGCCGAGCCAGCTGCAGATGGTAAAAGACCGACTTGGCAGTGGCTGCCACCTGGGCATCCATCGTTAGCGAGGGGTCCAGGAGCACACCCAAGCTGCACCAAAGGCACCCCGTCGATGGCCGGGAGAGGGAGCCCCAGCCCCGAACCGATCTGACTCAGGCCCAGGACCTCCGCCTTTGCTGGGTTTAATTTCAACCGACTCAGTCTGAGCCAACCAGCCACGGCTTGTAACGCCCCATAGAGGTCATCGGGACCGGAGTCTGACTGGCCGCCCAACATCAGATAGAGCTGGGTATCATCAGCATATTGATGACACTTGAGCTCACACCTCCGGGCAATCTGGGCGAGGGGGCGCATATAGATGTTAAAACAGCATAGGGGACAACACAGCTCCCTAGGGCACCCCACACTCAATGGACTGCCTTTGGGACTGCTGGTCCCCAATCGCCACCCTCTGTCCCTGACCTTGGAGGAAAGAGGAGAACCATTGAAGGGCAAGCCCCTAAATCCCCACGTAGGTGAGCCGGTGGGCCAGCAACTGGTGGTCGACCGTATCAAACGCAGCCGACAGATCTAACAACACCAGTGCCGCCACACCACCTCGATCCAGATTAAAAGAAATGTGGAAAAGCATGCAAATCTAGAAGGGGTGCGAAGAAGGGAAGAAAATAATAAAAGTAAATCACTATCCCAGAATACTGATTCAGGCTTTAGTCCCCTGGCCCCGACATAAAAACATAAAAGAAGCCAATGTTGGATCAGGCCAATGGCCCATCTAGTGCACACAGTGGCCAAAAACACCAGGTACCATCAGGAGGTCCAGCAGTGGGGCCAGGACACCAGAAACCCTCCCACTGTTGACCTCCCCCCCCCCCCAGCACCAAGAATACGGAGCATCACTTGCCCCAGACATAAGAATGTAAAAGAAGTCAATGTCGGATCAGGCCAAAGGCCCATCCGGCCCAACACTCTGTGTCACACAGTGGCCAAAAACACCAGGTGCCAGCAGGAGGTCCGGCAGTGGGGCCAGGACACCAGAAGCCCTCCCACTGTTGCCCACCCCCCCAAGCACCAAGAATACAGAGCACCCCTTGCTTCAGACCGAGAGTGCCTATCTATACCTTGTGGCTAAAAGCCACTGATGGACCTCTGCTCCATATACTTATCTAATTCCTTCTTGAAGCTGTCCATGCTTGTAGCTGCCAACACCTCCTGTGGCAGTGAAAATAGCCTGGTCAGACTGAAGGCACAGAGTCCAGATAGAACTCTCGAGTCCAAACTCCAAGGAGCAGAACTTCTGCCTGCACAAGGCCCAGCCTGCGGTCAAAAGGATGGCCAGAGGGAGGGAAGGCCCAAGCCAGACTGCTTGCAGCTGGCCTGATCCTGTTCGGTCAATCCGGTGTGTTGCTAAGACATGTGGCCACGTACCTCCGCAGCTGGCACGTCCCCACATCTGAGCAACCTCCACATGACCCAGGTTCCTGGCGTAAATGAGATGGAATGGGAGTGCAGAACTCCCTCCTCCGGGTCTCTGGCCTTGAAGCTCCCGGGGCCCCTGATCTCACTTGCACCTGAGCCCGACTCCCCTCTCATCCCTTATCTCTCTCTCTGAAACTGCAAGTCATTATGACGTTAATTTCCCTCTCAAGAACTCGACGGGGTCCCAAGGCCTGAACCAAAACTTGGAAGGCCAAGAAGTGGGGAGGCAAGGGCAGTGTCTTGACAGACGGTCCTGCCACCGCAGAAGCCTGATCCACGGTGTTCTATTTTCGTTGCCAGCCACCTTGAGCTCCGTCAGGAAGAAAGGCAGCTGATAGATGTTTTAAAATAAACAAACTCCCCGTGTAGCACTTTTTATAGATCAAGGCGACAGTCACTGACTGTGGATAAACCATTATAACTGTGCCATGTGAGGATTCTGTAGATATGCGGGCAGTTCTCAGAACGATTGTATGAGATCATACCCGGGTGCCCTCATTTATTTGTTTAATTTATATCTTATCATTCTCTCCTCCACTTTCTCCTCACAACAACCCTGTGAAGTAGGCTAGGCCGAGTGTGCGTGACTGGCCCAAGGGCACCCAGCGAGCTTCCATGGCAGAAGTGGGGATTCGTACCTGGGTCTCCCAGATCCTAGTCTGACCCTCTAACCACTACACTTTAGAGACCAACAAGATTTTGGGGATATATACCTTCACGGGTCCAAGCTTTCTCTGTCAGATATCAAAGGGAACTTTAACCCTCATAAGAAGAAGAAGAGATTGGATTTATACCCCCCCTTCACTTGGAGTCTCAGAGCGGCTTACAAACTCCTTTCCCTTCCCCTCCCCACAACAGGCACCCTGTGAGGTGGGTGGGACTGAGAGAACTCTGACACAAACTGCTCTTTTTCAAGGACAGCTGTGCCAGAGCTTGTGACTGACCCAAGGTCACATCAGCAGGTGCAAGTGGAGGAGTGGGGAATCAAACCCGGTTCTCCCAGATTAGAGTCCGCGCACTTAACCACTACACCAAACTGGCTTTCTGATACATATAAAAGCCTAACGTATTGGCACTTTCCAGCTCTCCTACTGGTTGTGCTGTGTGCTCCTGTGTAGGGGTGACATGAATGAGGTTTATAAAATTATGCATGAGAAAGAGCAGGTAGAGAAAGAGGTACTTTTCTCCCTTTCTCACAATACAAGAACTCCTTGTGGGCACTCCATGAAATTGCTGAGCGGTCGGGTTAGAACGGATAAGAGGAAGTCCTTCGTCACCCAGAGTGATTAACACATGGAATTCACTGCCACAGGAAGTGGTGGGGGCTACTGTTGTTGTGATAAGGGTTCACGATGCAAAGAAGACATGACACAAACAGCTTCTGCAGAAAGCTGAATGAATGAATCTCTCCCTCACTCACCAGCCATATTTATTGAAAATCTCCTCACTCCGTCCCCCCCTCCTTTCTCCCTTACATAAGGGAAAGTTACAAGCATTCAAGCATCCTTTTGGAATGTGTTTTCTACCGTGTTTCCCCGAAAATAAGACACTGTCTTATATTCGTTTTTTCTCAAGAAGACACACTAGGGCTTATACCACAAATGCATAGAAATCCTGCTAGGGCTTATTTTGGGGGTAG